TCCCCTTACCCTGTCTTTTCCACTTCAACTCACCACGTGACTCGTCGCGTCTCGAGCCCCACACCCCTCCACCTCACCCTTCACGGTTGCCTCTCCTCCTGGTCAGCCCTCCCACTCGGCCAACACCGCGGTTGCCCCTCCTCGTGGTCAGCCCTCCTACTCAGCCAAACCCCGCGGTCGCCCCTCCTCGTGGTCAGCCCTCCCACTCGGCCAACACCGCGGTCGGGCCTCCTCGTGATCCGTCCTCCCGCTCAGTCAAACACCGCGGTTGGCCCTCCCCGCGGTCAGCCCTCCCACTCGGCCAAACCCCGCGGTCGGCCCTCCTCGTGGTCAGCCCTCCCACTCGGCCAACACCGCGGTCAGCCCTCCTCGTGGTCCGCCCTCCAGCTCGGTCAAACACCGCGGTCGGCCCTCCCCGCGGTCAGCCCTCCCACTCGGACAACACCGCTGTCGGCCCTCCTTGTGGTCCGTCCTCCCGCTCGGCCAAACGCAGCGGTCGACCCTCCTCACGGTCGGTCCTCCCAGTCGGCCAGCACCGCGGTCGCCCCTCTTCGTGGTCAGCCCTCCCACTCGGCCAACACCGCAGTCGGCCCTTCTTGCGGTCAGCCCTCTCGCTGTCGGCCCACATCGCGGTCGCCCCTTCTCGTGGTCAGCCCTCCCGCTCGGCCAAACGCCGCGGTCGCCCCTCCTCGCGGTCGGTCCTCCCAGTCGGCCAGCACCGCGGTCGCCCCTCTTCGTGGTCAGCCCTCCCACTCGGCCAACACCGCAGTCGGCCCTCCTTGTGGTCGGCCCTCCCGCTCGGCCAACCACCGCGGTCGGCTCCCCGCCCTCGATCACCCCTTCCGGTCGACCTCCATCCTGCCAATCCCTAACACACTTATCTATGTCACTAATATTCCCTTCGTTGGACTGAAGCTGCACTCGGGAATGGGAGACTACTGACATGTATAAGCCCATAAAGGCCATGAATCACCTATGGCTCATCACTTGAAGCCCAGTACATAACCCAGCTAACGAGGTCCAGGACAGCTGGAGTCCAACATGGCATAAAGAGCCAATGACATTCAGACACACGGCAAGAGAAGGACGATCCACATCAGCAGACAAAGATCTGCAAAGTTATTGCCACTGCACATCACCATTAATGCAGCCCATCACAGCATTTATTACGACAACACCTCTCCACCGGATCAGGACCCCCTTACCCAAAGCAAGGTAAGCTACAGCATAGGCTTTCGGCAAGGAGAGCAGGTCGGAAGGGACAGCGAAATGATTACCAAAGGATATAAGCGAACGTTGTAGACAAGAAAAAGGTTAAGTTTTCTATCTCTAATCTTCTCCCATATACTCTACTTCTCTTCCTAACTTGCTCGTCGGAGAGTTCACTGGGGGACTACCCCGTTCCCCGTTGAACTTGCCTGCAGGTTATCCGGTGGGCTTGATCATTTGGATGCGGGCTTGAGGAGCTTGGACCTGCCTGACCCATTCACTAGGACGAACAGCATTAACATTATTATTATTATTATTTTCAAACAATATATAGATAGACACACACAAACAAAATAGTTGAATGATAGCAGCTAAATAGAATAGCGTAGGTCTTACAGTTTCAATAAATTAATAACATGTTCTTCATCTTCCCTTTTCTCTCTCTATCTCTTGCTCCTCCATCTTCCGTCTTCTCTCTCTATTCCTCTTCCTCCATTTTTTAGCTTTTTTTGTGTGTGTTTTTTCGAAATAAGAGTTTGAAACCGTTACGTAACGGTGCTGTTACGCACCGTTACGACCACTACGGCAGCCACCACGGTTGACACACTTGTAAATCTCAATCACATTGCAAAAGTGCCCTGAACGGGTGGTGGTAACCACCACAACCGTTACATAACCGTTTGGCCGCTTTTTAAAACCTTGGTTGTTGCTATTTTCAGGATATTGTTACTGGTAGTGCACATTGTGCCCTAGCAGGTTATTGGTCAAAAAAGTTGGGGAAATGTGATTTTGCTGCATATCAGGCACTCTCTCTCTCTCTCTCTCTCTCTCATGCGCGCTCGTGCAGTTGTGCCAGTTGTGTTCTTTCTTCATTCATTAATTGTGTTGTATTGTTTACTTGGCATAGGCATCAGCTTGAGGCGGCATACTGAACCTCCATTTAGATGAAAAGACTCAAAGAGTACTACTTCGGGGGAAAGCCATCACTGTAATGAAGGTTCTCTTTTGGTTTAACTAGGAATTGCCCCATCTTTGCTTGTGTGAATCAATTGAAATAAAAAGGTTGTTAATGTTTCGAAGGCTTGCTTTGAATTTTGATTGACCCGTTTGCCGTCAAAGTTAATGTTACTCCTTATAAGTTTTGTACTGGACATCTTCTGTAAAATTACATACATTTGTATCTTTGCTATCTATAATGGAAATTCTCTTTCTTGTTATCTCTGACTATTAGATCAAAACATGTGTAGCTGATACAAAATTCTAACTAAGATCTTCAAAACAATTCCTGAAATCGCATAAGAAGATTTTTTTTTGATTAGTTTGATTGCATTTTCTTTAACTCACTCTTCATAAAATTGACATAGAAATAGGAAATATTATATAATCTTCATTTGAAATAGCAGTCAAGTTGATCCAAGAGGGGGCTAAATGTGAACTCTCCTTGTAACCTTGGTTGAAGACTTGAGATTTTCTTCTACAAAGGTGCAATAGCTCCATATCTCATACTCACAAAGAAGAAAATCAGTATGTAGTGCCATGGCCAATACTAATCCTCTTTCTTTGTGTTTGTGTTTGAATTCTGGTTATGTTTGTCTGTTATTCCTTTGAAAATAAAAATATTGCTAAACAAAATTGTTGGCAAGACCCAGTAACTGAAACCTACCAAATCAAATTTGTACTAATTCAGTGCTTACTCTGTCAACTAGACCATTAGATACAAGAGTCAGGAATATCACTTTCAATCTAGATTCTAATAATACTATCAAATTTTTGTGTAGTAGTTGATATGTCACCATAGTATTAACTTTTTATATTCAAATTTAATCACTGTAGTCTTTATTACATAGTCTTACTTTAAAAATCATGTGTAGTAGTTGATATGTCACCATAGTATTAACTTTTTATATTCAGATTTAATCACTGTAGTCTTTATTACATAGTCTTACTTTAAAAATCATCCAAGACTTTTTAATTTGAAGGGTTGGCGACCTCCTTCATCTGAAGTTTGCTTAGAGGGTTATACTAATCTACTTTATGAACAGTGAAAAGTAAAGAGACTTGTATCATTTGCCATTCATTAAAAAAAACTCAATATTTGTTAATCTTTCGGTTTCAAATTTTTTGTAAATTTTCACTATTTTAGATATTCAAAAGAATCATTTATATTTTCTAGTTTATTCTATTTTGAACAATTTAAAAAACTTTATCGACAAGTATTAATTAAATTCTTAATTTATGTGTATCTGTTTCAAAATATTAGTCTCTTATTTCATTTTTCATTATTCTAAAATATTAGTTCATTTTTAAAAATTACGAACTAAAAGAACATAAATTTTCCTATTTTGCCATTTTGTAAATTCATTAGTAATAGTTTTGAAGTGTAATAATTGTACTACCAGAGGATAGTTTTGAAAAGTTAATAGGTGTGTTTGGTTTGTGTTTTGAGATAAATTTTCAAAAAAAAAATTTAGGGAGTTTAGAATTTTTTTCGGTTTGTTTGGTTGTATATTTTGAAAATAGTTTTAGAGTTTAAGAGTTTGGGATGATTTGATATTTTGTTGTAGTTGAGTAAATGTGTGGGAGAGAAAAAGTGATCGAGAAAGAAAGAGGAGAGAGAAACAATGATTGATTGATGTGTAGAATTGAGAGTGATTTCGAAAAAAAATTTCAAAAATTTGAACCAAACAAATTTTTGAAGTCTAATAATTGTACTATAAAAAAAAGATCAATATTATGAGACGAAAGAAGTACATAAATACATTATTTATAGCATCTCTAACGGTGTAACTTTTTTTTTCACTACATTTGAGTAAAAATTTGACTAAAAACTCCATCAGATACACATGCTCCAACAGAGGATTTTGAACTTTCATCAAAACACCTGTCGACCGAACAGACAGCCGGGCAGATGTCTGACCAGACAAACAACCGGGCAAATGTCTGATCGGTCGGGCGGCTAGTGTAAGTTTTTCACAAATTTTTGTAAGGAGGTAGTCATCTGGGAGGATAATCAACCGGATATCCGTTGTGAAAATAACCTGCAACTCCAATGGCTATGAACAGTAAAATAATGAAAAGTCCCAACTGTCTTTAATTTGGTAAAAGATTTATCATATCCTCAATTTAATATTCATCTGATAAAATGATTAGAGCAACCAAAATGACATTTTTTTCATTAAATTTAAATTTGTAAAATAATAATACGTTGGGGATGGCTTTATTAATATGATTTAAAGACAAAAATGCTAAAAATAGGAGGAATTTTTATATGAAAGGAATCACAATAAATAGTAAAAGGGAACGTATGACATTTTATTCGCATACAAAAATTTCTCTAAAAGTATCTGTTTCAAATTAGTTAAAATCAGTTTTTAGCTAAATTAGTGATATTGTTCATAAAAAATAGGCTGCATCAGTCTCACTACTGTTCATCGTTAATATACGAGTGCTACAGTATCTCGCTATAACAAGCGAAGTGTTACAGTACTTCGCTACAACAAGCGAGGTACTGTTCTTCGCTAGTTGTGTGTTACCGGACTTCTGCCCAAAACTCTGGCCGGATGTCTGGCCGGTCAACCGGTCAACGGTAATTTTTTTTTTTCCCTCCAGTTTTACCTTTTGTAAAATATAAGAATTGTTTGATTTATAACTCATCAATTTAATTATAAAAAATAATAATAATAAATATTTTAATAAAATTAAATTAAAATAAAAAGATTGATGCAGTGACTAGCTAAAATGAAAAAAATAACTTTTTAAATTATAATTTGACTAAAATTTTAAAAACCCTGCTACTTTGCTCTAATAGACGAACGAACGTCGGATGCCCAGCGACCAAACATATCCCAAGTAGGCCAGGCGAGGGAAGCCGCCGTCAAACTAATATAAATAGATCCAGCGCCATGAATTCATCTTCTAAAAGCTCTCTTCGTTTTAGTTAGTACTGAAGATGGGAAAGAAGCCTGTTAAGTACTGTGTGGTAATCTCTCTCCTCACTATCATACGCACATTTTGATTTTGTGCTTTTCGTTGTTGTTTTTGTGTGACTCACTGATTCGAGTTGTGAGATTAGGTTGACGCGTTCACTGACTCGCCGTTCAAGGGAAACCCAGCGGCGGTATGTTTGTTGGAGGAGGAGGAGAGAGACGAGGAGTGGTTGCAAGCAGTTGCTAGTGAGTTCAACGTTTCCCAGACCGGTTACTTGACTCGGATCACTGAGTCCGAGTCGGAGACTCAAGACTCATCCAACTCAACTACAAGCCCTCGGTTCCACCTCCGATGGTTCACTCCAGTTGCCGAGGTCAGTGGAACATTGAAAAAACTGAACTGTTTCTTTTCTGATTTGATCCGTTTGGTTGCTGAGAATATCAGGAAAAAAGCAAAGGAAAACGTAACGCTGAATATTTTAATTTGGCAACTTAAATTACTTGTAATTTGATTGATTGATATTTTAGTCAAATTGAGAGTCGTGTTTGAATAGCTAAGTTCATGGGAGTGGGTAATTTAATCTGGGCATGGAATTTATGGCTTCTTGCAGGTTAAACTTTGTGGTCATGCAACCTTGGCAGCAGCACACTTTCTATTCACTTCTGGTTTGGTAAATTCTGATAAAATTGAGTTTCTGACACTATCGGGAGTTTTGACTGCTAAAAGAGTTCCAGAAGCCCAAAAAACTGGCAAATTGGAAGATTGCTTTTTAATTGAGTTGGATTTTCCAGTAGTTCCACTTACTGAATTTGACTCTGCTGAGGTTCCATCAATTTCTAAAGCATTGAGCGATGCTTCTGTGATTGAATTAAAGAAGACAACTACTGCAGAAGACCTCTTTGTATGCATTCTTTGTTTATTTAGTGTTATTCATAATTCTGCAACTTTGTTTTTTTTGAAGTAAATGGTTGAAAGGGCATCTAAGAAAAAAAAACTATAAATGAAAGAATGATTGCTCCATTTTAAAATTAAATCGTGGGATGATTTGATTTCGAATTTGGGTGCATCCTCAAACTTTCATGGCAGTATCTCAAAGAGGGAAGTTAACCTGAACTGATATATGGATATTCATTTTGCACTTGCATTTTGGCAGGTGGTGCTCCCATCGGGAAAGGCTGTTGCAGATCTACAGCCCAAATTTGATGAAATACAACGATGTCCTGGAAGGGGATTAATTATTACAGCGCTTGCTCCCACCGGATCTGGGTTTGACTTTTTTAGCCGCTTCTTCTGTCCAAAATTAGGGATCAAAGAGGTAATATATTGGCATTTGGTCCCAACCCAAACTACCTCGTGATTTAAACCAGTTCCTTTCATATTTCTAGGTGTATTTTGATTAACAATAATACTTGAGACCACTAAAAGTGGTGTTCTAAAAGCACCACTAGTGATGTGGTAATGGACGGGGCCCACTGCTTGTGTCTTGTTTTTTTTTTTTTAAATGTTTGCCAACTCATTAGTGGTGCTTTAGAGCACTACTTTTAGTGGGATGTATCATTACCCTTTGATTAATTGGGAAAACATTGTTTGTTATATGTAAAAGAACAATTCAGACATATTAACTAGTCATGATTTGAAATGAAATTGCCAACACAAAAATGATACAAGACTACATTTTTCCTTGCGGTGTACATTGCCTCAAGTGTCAGATTTTCTACTATAGCACTATAAGAAAAGCTTCATATCTTGACTGTTTGGTATCAATCTCTATTTCCTGAAATGTTTTGAGAGATATTGCATGACATATTTTTGGCATAATCCTCCTTTGCCGGATTACTAATTGTGATGCTCAAAATATAAAGAACTTACATTCAACAGTTTCCCCCATATGTGACTTGCTGTTATTTTTTAGGATCCTGTTTGTGGGAGTGCACATTGTGCCTTAGCAGCCTATTGGTCTAAAAAGCTGGGGAAATGTGATCTTGTTGCATATCAGGTAAAATCTCTCTCTCTCACAGTTGTGCGCAGGTGCATCACTTGCTTTTTTTTGCCCATTCATTAATTATCTTGTTTATTTGACGTAGGCATCACCTAGAGGTGGCATTCTAAACCTCCATTTAGACGAACAGAGTCAGAGAGTATTACTTCGGGGGAAAGCCATCACTGTAATGGAAGGTTCTCTTTTGGTTTAATTAGGAATTACCCCATCTTTGCATGTATTAAGTAATTGAAATAAAAGGCTGTTAATGTGTGGAAGGCTTGGTTTGAGTTCTGAACGCTTCCAAGTTGACTTTACTCATCGTACTAGACATCTTCTTAAAATTACATTTGGCCCTATTTGAAATAAATGTACCGGATTATTCCCTTTGTATGTCTGCTAAGAATTTCATTCAGTATATAATTCTGCTATGGGAATTCTTCTTATTGTTACCACTGACTAATAGAACACAACCTGTGTAGCTAATGCAAATTACTAAATTAAGATCTTTAAAACAATTCCTGAAATCACATAAGATGTTTTTCTTTTAATTTGTTTGATTGTATCTTCAACTCACTCCTCATTAATGTGATTTGGAAATAGGAAATATAATCTTTATTTTTTATTGTTTCGCAGTACTGGGATCTATAGCAACAATGGCAGCACCAGCAGTCTGATGACCCTGTCTTGTGTTAAGTTAATTAATGGTGATTATGTTGTGATTATGTGATTAATTTGAATTTGGGTGTTAATTGCATAATTAAGGCCTTGTTTGGCAAGTTAACATTTTAGCTAAAAAGTCAAAAAGTTACTAAAAAAACTATAACCTATATTAAAAAGTCAAAGATTTCATTTTCTCTCTACTTTTTGTACATTTGTTCGTAAAAAGTTAAAAGTCACCCCAAACATACTAGTTTTTTTTACCTCATATGTTAGCCAAAAAATCAAAAAGTTACTAAAATAGCAAGTTCCCAAACGAGGCCTAAGTGTGATTTTGGCCTTATATCTGTTCACAGTAGGAAAATCTATTCAACTTACTATTGTAAACTGAAAATTGAAGACCTTATCGGTTATAGAAACCGAAATTGACTATGCCATTGTAATTAGCGTAATTTTTAGAGCCTATGGTGAAATTTAATTGAAAACTGATTCGAAACGAATTAATTAGTTTAAACTGATTGAATTAAGCATCATTACTTAGCCCTAATCAAATTTGATTAGGCAAGCCTATATAAGTGGCCTATTTACACTTATGAGCATTGTTTTTGAGCTTATTTCTCTCCTTTGGCTGAGATTACTATAGAGAGAGAGAGGGTCGGTTGGAGAGAGAGAGAGAGAGAGTGAGTGAGTGAGGGCAATTGGAGAATTGAGCCAGAAATTTGAAGATTGTGAAGATTAATTCAAGAACTAGCTAGAATTTGGAAGATTGGAGTTCATAGGTGAGTAATTGGATATGAATTCATGAGTTTGAATTTGTAATTTTCTGAATTCAAGCTAAGTGGTAATCAAGAACAAGAATTAACATGAATATGAAGAATTTGAAGTTTATATGCACATGCATGTATAGAATTGTCATGATTTTACATACTCAAGCATGAATCATGTTGAACATAAAGAATTGAGCACCAAATTTCACATGCATGCATAATTTTGTGTAGCTTCATAATTTTGAACGCCACTTGCACCATTTAAAATGAAATTGAAGTCAATATTTCACATGCATGCAAGATTCATGCAAGTAAGGAGTTTGATTATTTAAGTTTTGAAATTGACAAGAAGAATTTGAAATGGTTTAAGAGATGAACTATGATTTTGGACAACTGGTTTCAAATTACTTATATTCTTATGTTATACTGTCTTTCCATGCCTTTTGTATCAAAAACACGAGTTTTGGGCCTTTGAACATCAAGATTGAGCTTCAAATTTAGTTCTGGAAATTCCAGAATTCAAGTCTGCTCGAGCGGGGAAGGCGCCTGTAGACCGCCCGAACTCCACTCTGCGCACGAGGATGCGAATTGTAGTTCTATCTACTACAGCTCGGACTCATGTCACGGTTCTGAATCTAATATCACAAAATGCAATGTAAGACTGATAAATCCCCAAAGAGTCCAAATCCGGCAAATCGTTTTGGAAAATGGATTTTAATCAAAAAGCGCCAAACATGGACTACTTTGCCAGATTTCAGAGTTGCCATCTAAATATTTTGTTTTGGAAAATTTAGGAAACCCTAACTCGGGCCTAAGGCCACGTGTCTGTCATCACCAAAGTTGCCTCGGCTTGAGAACTTGGGTACAAGAGGGGAAGGTCCTGAAATGAGCACCCTCGCTCGCCCGATCAAAGCATTGACCTCTACTAACATGATATGTTATTTTTGAAAACACATGTGTTCTTATTCTGATTTATTAGTTATCTTACTATGTGATGCGCACAGCATACAAGTATAGACTAAATTGCTCAAGTTGGAACAAAACATCTCATGTTTGTTTGTTTGAAAATGGTTTGAAAATGCTACTTGCAAGTAAACTAAATCGTGGATTTGCCACCCTTAAGTGGGCTTAAGAAAACATGGTGATTTGCCACTCCAAGTGGGCTTAAAACACACATTTGGATGAATTGTTCTAACTCAAGCAACAAAGCTTTCATCCACAGGCATTCATGCAGTTATATCATTTAAGCAAATAGCCTCATGGCAAACATGCTATCATGGCAGTCTCTTACACACATGCAGTATGCTAAAGCATAAACACTCACAGTGTACTCCGAGCCAAAAAAGAAGCTAGTTAGTAATCAATACATGATCCTAGTTATGTCAAGAATGCCTAATGCAACACATGCAAAATGCAACTAAAATAGGCTCGGCTATTCTAAGATGTCATGTGAATGCAACTTGATAACATGTATTCAAATGGAAATTGAGATACAATGCAATTTGTATGATGCGCCAAGCCCGGTGCATGCAAAACAGATAAATGATGTACGCATGCAAAGCATAAGTATGCTAATTGAAATATGCCCTAAACTAACCATCAAAAGCTGGTAAATAAAAGGGAGAAAGACGTGGGGTTGGAAGACATGCATCACATACACGCACGATTATTACAACAGTTGTGCCCTCTCGACGGAGGGTCCAAATAATAAGCTAAGCTAACTAGCTAACCTAAGCTAATTAAACTAATTATTACAAAACAAAACTAATAACTAGCTACAACTAATTATTACAAAACAACCTAATTAGCTAACTACACTAGCTAATTAAACATTACAGAATAAATCAATTAGCTTAACAAGTTAACTAATGAAGTACAAAACCAAAGTATAAGCTAGCTAAGAAAAGCAGTAAAAAGGAGCCTCGGGGCGAGAAGTGCATGCATGCTCGGTCGCCTCATTCGGAAATCCATCGCTAGGCCCCAACTTGCCTCTGTTTGCATTTGATTTTAGAACACTACACAAACCTTCGGATAGCTTTTGTACCAACGTGGGAACCTCCAGGAGGGCTGCCGACCACTTAATGGTGTTGTAGACCACCTGTAGACCACTTACATATGCTGCAAACCAGAAAAAGTGGTCGGCCAGCTACTTTTTCTGGTCTGCCGACCAGAAAATTCTGCCACACTCCAGTTTGCTGCAATAGAGAACAAGAAGGAGCACGACAGTGTATTTGCAAGGTATGTGTGCACAACCACCTTCTCTATCATTTCTTAAGCTCAAGGGAGTGCGGTACTCGACTCTCGGGCCACCAACCAAGCATCGTAATGCATGATGGCCGAGAAGCCAAGTTTGCACAATTCAATACCAATGAATGCACAAAAGACAAATAAGAGCCTTAATCTCTATCATGCTTAATCATGATCAAGAGGGTCGGCGACCGAGAAATGAGGCACGTCTCATCACTTCAAGTATGAAACGTCCATTGTTTCTCATGTTTGGATTAACACTCTATCCAAACACAATGCAACACTACAACATTCCAAACATAATGCAATGCAGCATGAGCATGCAAGCGTAATGCAATGCAACAACATTCCAAACATAATGCAATGCAACATGAGCATGCAAGCATAATGCAATGCAACAACATTCCAAACAAGTTAATGTAGCATGCACAAGGTTCCATCATGTGAACAATGCATGCATGGCAAGCTTAGAAGCTTAAGCTTAAGGCACCAAAGCTAAGGCAGAGCATCTCATAAGAGGCATGCAAAACAATGCTCAATGGACTTAAACCGAGTGTGGACAGACCTAAATCATGCCAAAACAGTGGCCAAAACACCAAGACTTAAGCACAAAAGGGCCAAGAACACATGCTCATGTGATGGCTCATCAACTAAGCATAAGAGCACAACTATCAAACAAGCTTAAAAAGTAACAAACATGGAAGTGTGACAACACTATATGCTCTGAAATCATGTATGAAATGATGCCAAATCATCCAAATAGCTCAAGTATAGCATGCTAGGGTCCTTAAGCATTAAGGCTAGTGAAAGGGACTACACAAGAGGCATGCAATACATGGCACAAATGAATGAACCAGCCATGGACAGAGCTCAAATAGGTCAAAATAAAGACCAAAACATGCTGAGATGGGAGCTCAAAGGTCTAGGCATACATGCATACAAGTTAGGCCATAAACAAGACAATAATGCATGACCCTTAAAGACACTCAAAGAGTGAAAGAAGTGGGAACATGGCAATGCTATATGCTCTGAAATAACATGTTAAATGATGCCAAATCATGCACATGTCACAAATGAACCATGCTAGGAGGCTCGAAGCTTGAAATTAGCATAGGCACTTGCACTATAGCTATACAAAACATGAACCATATGGCCAAGACAACCCAAAACAGTCCTAGAGCATGTCAAAATGAGGCTAAAACATGCATGGAGTGTAGCCAAAACAAGCTAGCATGAAGGGCATGGAGTATGCAAGGCCAATAAGGAAGGTTACACTACACCTACCAAAACCAAGCATGAGATGACTTTGCCAACAAAAATTAGAGTTATGGCATGTCAAAATAAGACCAAAAATACACTGACATGGTAGCCCAAAAGTTTAGGCAAGATGGCATTCATATTAGCTCATGTTCAAGGCATAAAGCACCAACCCTCCAAAGCATTGAAAGAGTGAAAGATGTGAGGACATGGCAATGAAACATGCTCTGAAATCACATATCAAATGATACCAAATCATAAAAATAGCCTAAGCAATGCATGCTAGTGACTTGGAAACTCAAGGCTAGTGAGCTAGAATGCCTTATGGCTATACAAAGCAAGGCATGCATGACCAAAATAACATAAAACAGAGCTTAAGCATGGTAAAACATTAGTAAAAGCTTCCTAGAGTAGAGCCAAAAGCATGCTAGAATGATGGTCCAAAACATGATGCATGTTAGGCTAGTGAGTGGAATTGCACAAGTGCAAGGAACATGCAAGAAACTATCAAACCAACCTTA